TTTTTATTTTTTTATTTATATTTTTCTTTAATTTTATTTTTTAAAATGTTTCTTTATTTTTGAGAGACAGAGTGTGAGTGGGAGAGGGGTGGAAAGAGAGGGAGACACAGACTCTGGAGCAGGCTCCAGGCTCTGAGCTGTCAGCACAGAACCTGACTTGGGGCTTGAACTCATGGACAGCAAGATCATGACCTGAGCTAAAGGCAGATGCTTAACCAGGAGCCCCAAATTGTAGGAATTCTTAAAAATAAGTTCTGAATACTATTCCTTTATTAGTTATATTTGTTGAAAATAGCTTCACCTAGTTTGTAGCTTGTTTTACATTTCTTTTCCATGGTGACCCTTAATGAACAGGTTTAAACAATTTATGTGTCAAATTAATCAACCTTTTACTTTAGGGTTCCTGCTCTTTGTGCCACATTTAAGAAATCCATTACTGTCCCAAAACATAAATTATTTTTTAATGTTTATTTATTTTTTTGAGAGAGAATGTGCGTGCACACAAGCTGGGGAAGGGCAAAGGGAGAGAAACCCCAAGCAGGCTCTATGCTGACTGCGCAGAGCCCAATATGGGGCTCCGATCACAAACCCGTGAGACCATGAGCTGAAACCAAGAGTCAGATGCTCAACCGACTGAGCCACCCAGGTGCCCCCTAAAATATTTTCTTCTATTCTTCTGTAGACATTTAATGTTTTACTTTTAACATTTACAATTTCTTTTTAAGTAGGCTCAGTGCCCAATGTGGGGCCTGAACTCACGACCCTGAGATCAAGAATTGCACTAAGCCACCCAGGCCCCCCTTCACTTTTAACATTTAAATCTTTAATTCATCAGACTTAGTTTTAGGTACAGATTGAGGTATGGATCATATTCATTTCTTTTCATATGGAAAACCAGTTGCCCTAGTATTGTTTACTGAATGGTTCATTCTTTTCCTGCTAATAGGCAATGTTGGTACTGACACAAATTAAGTTTCCTTATGCTTACACAGTTTCTGTTCTTTCTTTCCCTTGCTCTGTTTATTTCTGAACCAAAACCGAATGATCTTAATTACTGTGACTTTCTGATTAATCGGTGTTTTGTGGGGCAGCCCCTTCAATGTTGTTCTTTTACAGGAGTGTCTTAACTATTCTTGGCCCTTTCTAATTCCATTAAAATTTTACAAAAAGCTGAGGCGCCTGGGTGGCTCAGTTGGTTAAGCGTCCAATTTCAGCTCAGGTCAGGATCTCACGGTTGGTGGGTTTGAGCCCCGCGTCGGGCTCTGTGCTGACAGCTGGGAGCCTGCAGCCTGCTTCAGATTCTGTGTCTCCCTCTGTCTGCCCCTCCCCCCACTCACACTCTGTCTCTCTCTCTCAAAAATAAACAAACATTAAAAAAGAAATTTTACAAAAAGCTGAATGACATTCCAATTCTCTCTTGAACCTTCCCCAGTCTTGCTTCCTTCTCACCATCTCACAGCATCTGCCGCTACAAGGTCTCTAAGCCCTTCCCATTGTCAGATCTACCGGTCAATCCTCAGTCTTCATCTTACTTGGCCTCTTCGTATCATTCGACACACTGTTTACTTTCCTTGTGAAATACACTCTTCACTCAGTTTCTATAATATTACTCCTCTGGGTTTTTTCTCCTCCTTCACTAGCTGCTCTTGTAGTTTCCCTGCGCTGGATGCTCCTGTTCCCTGCTGCCAAACATCGGAAATCTGACCACAACATTCCCAGCCAACCCAAGAGCTCAATCCTTAAATCTGTTACTTTCTATCTATACTCACTCTATAGGGGGTTATCTCATTTGGTCCCACAGCTTTAAAATAGCAAATTCAGTTCAAATCTGAATCCCAAATTCATGTATATAAATGCCTACTTGGGGGCACCCAGAGCTCAGTCGATTGAGAGTCCGACTTCGGCTCAGGTCATGATCTCACGGTTGGTGAGTTCGAGCCCCACCTTGGGCTCGCTGCTGTCAATGAACAGATCCTCTGTTCCCCTCTCTCTCTGCCCCTCCCCTGCTCATGCTCTCTCTCTCTCTCCCCTTCTCTCTCAATAAATAAATAAATATTTTTTAAAAAGTCTACTTGATATCTCTAGTTGAATGTCTGCTGTGTATTGAATATCCAGTAGGTATCTCAATATTCAAAATTGAACTTTTAATTATTTCTCCAAAGCTGCTCCTCCCTTCATATTCTCCATCAGTAAACAGCCTTAGTTTTCTCATCTGTAAAATGGGGATGAAATAATGATACCTGCTTCATAAGGACATTACAAGGATGGAATAAGATGTATGCTAAGTGTGGAGCACAATGCCTGGGACACAGTAAGCCACTCAGTAAATATTGTTCGCCCATTTATTCAACAAATATTTATCGAGTACCTACTTGCTGACTATTGTTTCAAGTACTGGAGATAAAGCAAAACAGACTGTTGCTGCTCTCATGGACCTTACATTTCTAGTACATCAGATGGTGATAAAAGCCCTGGGGAAAACTAAGGTCAGGGAGAAGGATAGGGAGCCTTGAAGGAGTGGGTACAGTTTTTAGAAGGACAGTCAGGGGGCGCCTAGGTGGCTCAGTCGGTTGACCTTCCGGCTTTGGCTCAGGGGTTCGTGAGTTCTAGCCTCACACCGGCTTGTTTTGAGCAGAGTGCACTGCGGATCCTCTGTCTCCCTCTCTCTCTCCCTCTCCCCCCCTGCCTGCATGCTGTCTCTCAAAAATAAATAAAACATTAAAAATAAATAAAAAGGACAGTCAGGAAAGGCCTCACTGAGAAAGTGACATCTGAGCATGGACCTGTGGGGAAACAAGAGCTTGAGCCATGTGTATTATCTAGAGAAAAGCATTCTATGAATGGAACAGAGCAAGTGTAAAAGTACTGAAACCGGGGGCGCCTGGGTGGCTCAGTCGGTTAGCGGTGACGGCTCAGGTCTTGTTCTCCTCACGCAGGTCGTGGGTTCGAGCCCGGACGCGTGATGGGCTCTGTGCTGACAGCTCAGAGCCTGGAGCCCGGTTCAGATTCTGTGTCTCCCTCTCTCTGACCCTCCCCTGTTCATGCTCTGTCTTCTGTCTCAAAAATAAATAAACGTTAAAAAAATAAAAAAAATAAAAAGTGATACTGGTAGACACCGAGGGGACCAGTACATCTGAGAATCCCACAAAAGCTGATTATAAGCTTTCCAGATCACAGGCAATCTGATACTTTTGTACATCCTTTAGTAGGGTGCTGGGCATTCAGTAAGTATTTACCACCTTGACTTTGAGTCTTCGACCATTTATCTCATACCTTGTGAAAAATTCTGCTCCTGAGCCAAGATTTCATTTCGTTCTTCCAAAATCAGCATCAAGGCAGCTTGGAGTTTAGGAGGTAGAATTTCACCTCATCAAAAGACTGCACCTTAGGGGCGAGGGGGGATTTTCGGACCTTTGAGAGAGAAAATCTCAAACATATACCAGTTAAATCCCCAAAATTTCACCGGTGACTTTGTATAGATTTTGGCTAAAGACTCAGTCTGAACCTTCTTTCCCTACATTCAGCAGAATTCAGGATGTTTATGGTATACATAACTGTCTTTAAATATATATATATATATATTTACGACATTTTCTGGTACCTTTCCATCAAATATCTCTCATCTACAAGTCTAACACTGTATTACAAAGATCATCCACAAATAAACAGTGTTTCAAACGCTTTGAAAAGAGACAAAGTCTTGGGAAACATCCTTTTTTACCCTGTGCTGAGTGCTCACACACTTATATACAGGCTACAGAGTGTTGCCCTAAGCAGGCTTTGCTAACTCTCCCTTCCACTTTCAAGACCCAGAATAAATGACCACTTTTTTTTTTTTTGCCCCTACTGTACCATGTGGAAATCTCTATTACACGATTTCTAAAACTTTATACATATGTCCACTCCCCCTTCTCATTGTTAGATCATAAGGTCTGAGGGGCTCAAACTGCATCTTACCTTTAGATTCTAACAGAGTATCTCGACATAATCAATGTTGGATGCTTGTTACATTCAATGAAATTAGATCCTTATACATCACCCCATCTGGATGTCAAAGGAGGGTTACCTCTTTTGAGAATGACATTTAATCTTTTCCTCCTTCCTTCTTTGGGAGAGACAGCTATAAACCTAACCCAGTTTTTCAGGTCAATCTTGTATGATTGGCCACAGTGTCAGTATGTGTAGGAACTAAAAGTCTTGCCTGAGTCATCTTCTCTAAGTACTTTCACATATTTTCTGTCCAATTATCCCCAAATATTATGTAATCACCTCATTTGTTACTTACCTCCTGTAAGAACTTGTCTGCACAGAGATCAACTATCAGCACCTATGGGATAAAGGAGCTAGGTAAGTTAAACCAGAGACATTCACAGAGACATACATTAGGCACTGCTAGATCAGGAAGAGTGTTTGATTCTTTCAAGCAATGGAAATAGTTTTAAACAAAATTAAGTTCAAGTTGTAGCCCATTTAAATTTTTTTAATGTTTTATTTATTCTTGAGAGAGAGAGAGAGAGAGTCAGAGCATGAGCTAGGGAGGGGCAGAGAGAGAACGGGACACAGAATACGAAGCAGGCTCCAGGCTCTGAGCTGTCAGCACAGAGCCAGACGCAGGGCTCGAACCCACAAGTGGTGAGATCATGACCTGAACTGAAGTCAGATGCTCAATCGACTGAGCTACCCAGGCGCCCCAAGTTGTAGCCCATTTAAAAGTTAACTCATCTCAGGTGCCTAGATGGCTTAGACAGTTAAGCGTCTGACTCTTGACTTTGGCCTGGGTCATGATCTTGAAGTTCATGGGATTGAGCCCCGTGTAGGGCTCTGTGCTGACAATGCAGAATCTGCTTGGGATTCTCTCTCTCCCTCTTTCTCTGCCCCTTCTCTAGTCATGTATGTACGCATACCCTCTCTCAAAAATAAATAAACATTTAAAAAAGAATGATGGCAGGCACATCTATATGTTAAAGTGACAAACCATACTGAGCAAATACAAGAGTGGACTTTATTTGGGAGTGATGCAAACAAACTATTAAACATTTATGAAATGGAGAGATGAACACTGGATTGTATTAATATTAAAAGAATTGTTATTAAATATTTTAGGTGTGATAATGGTATTGTGATTATGTTTAAAATGTCCTTGTGTTATAGAGATTTATATTGTGATATTTAACAGCGAAATTATATCAGGATATGCTTCAAAAATTATGGTAGAGAGGAGTGGGTAAGGGTAAAGATGGCCCCATGAGTTGGTAAGTGCTGAAGTAGGGTAATTGGAGTTATTTTAACCTTTTGTTTACTTTTACTATGTTTGAAATTTTCCACAATTAAAAGTTAAAAAAAAAAAAGGTTAGTACAAAAATCAGCTGTGTCTCTATACACTAACAATGGACTATCTGAAAAAGAAATTAAGAACACCACCAATCCCATTTTCAACTGCATCAAAAAGAATAATTAGGAATAAATTTAGCCAAGGAAGTGAAAGATCTGTCCACTGAAAACGGTAAGAATTGATGAAAGAAACTGAAGAACACAAGTATGTGGAAAGATATTCTGTGCCCGTAGATGAGAAGAATAAATATTATTAAAATGTTCATACTACCCCAAGCAATGCACAGATTCAATGCAATCCCTGTCAAAATTCCAGTGGCATTCATCATAGAAATAGAACAAACAATCCTAAAGCTCCTATGGGACTCCAAGTTCCCTGAATAGCCAAAGCAATCTTGAGAAATAACAAATCTGGAGGCATCGCACGTCCTGATTTCAAACCAGGTCACAAAGTTACAGTAATCAAAACAGTATGGTACTGGCATAAAAACGCACATAGATCAATGGAACAGAACAGAGTCCAGAAATAAACTCATTCATAGTCAGTTTACAGTAAAAGGAAGCAAGAATATGCAATGGGGAAATGACAGTCTCTTCAATAAATGGTGTCGGGAAAAACAGCCACATGCAAAAAAGAGAAACTGGACTCTATCTTATATTATACATAAAAATCAACTCAAAATGCGGTGCCTGGGTGGCTCAGTGGTTAAGTGTCTGACTCTTGATTTTGACTCAGGTCATGCTCTCACAGTTTGTGAGTTCAAGCCCCATGCTGGGCTCTGCGATGACAGTACAGAGCCTGCTTGAGATTCTCTTTCCTTCTCTCTCTGCACCCCCTCCCCCAACCCAAAACAAATAAACTTAAAAAAATATCAACTCAAATTGGAGTAAAGACTTGAACGTTAAGACCTGAAACCATAAAGGGTAAGCATCTTGACACTTGTTTGGTCAATGAATTTTTTGGATTTGACACCAAAAGCAAAGGTAGCAAAAGTGAGAAATAAACGAGTAGAGGCATATTAAACTAAAAGCTGCACAGCAAAGGAAACCATCAATAAAATGAAAAGGAAACTTACGAAGTGGGAGAAAATATTTGCAAATTATATATCTGATAAAAGGTTAATATCCAAAATACATAAAGAATTCATACAACTCAATAGCAAAAAACAAAACAAAACAAAACCCAACAATGACCAAAAACTAAAACAAACACCAAATAATCCTATTAAAAATGAGCAGAAGAGGGTCATGTGGCCGGCTCAGATGGTACAGCATGTGACTCTTGATCCTGGGGTCGTGAGTTTGAGCCCCATGTTGGGTATAGACTTTACTTTAAAAAAAAAAAAATGAGCAGAGGAACTGAATAGACATTTTTCCCAAAGACATGCAAACTGGCCAAGAGGCCCATAAAAAGGTGCTCACCATCACTGATCATTAAGGAAATGCAACTCAAAACCACACTGAGACATCACCTCATCTCTGTTAGAAAGGCTATTATCAAAAAGACAAAAGATAACAAATGCTGGAGAAAAAGGAACCCTTATGTACTGTTGGTATGAATGCAAATTGGTGCAACCACTATGGAAAACAGTGGTTTTCCTCTTCAACATGAGGGTGCATGTATCGTTTCAAGAGAGTGATTTAATTTTTATTGGATATATGCCTGGAAGTGGGATTGTTGGATCACATGGTAGTTCTATTTTAAATTTTTTGAGGACTTCAATATACTTCCTAATATACTAGTACTAGTATAGTTCACTGTCCATATTAAAAAAAAAAAAGATCGGGGCGCCTGGGTGGCGCAGTCGGTTAAGCGTCCGACTTCAGCCAGGTCACGATCTCGCGGTCCGTGAGTTCGAGCCCCGCGTCGGGCTCTGGGCTGATGGCTCAGAGCCTGGAGCCTGTTTCCGATTCTGTGTCTCCCCCTCTCTCTGCCCCTCCCCTGTTCATGCTCTGTCTCTCTCTGTCCCCAAAATAAATAAAAAACGTTGAAAAAAAAAA